CCCCCAAATCCCTAATTCCAGTCCCTCAGGCACCAAATCCCCAATTCCAGGCCCCCTCGGCCCGAAATCCCAATTCCAGTCCTCCAGTCCCTCAGGCCCCAAATCCACCAAGAGGCCCCAAATCCAAATCCAAAGGCCCCCTTTCCCCAATAGGCCCCAAATCCCCAATTCCAGGGTCCCAAGTCCCAAATCCCAAATTCCAGTCCGCCAAGCCCCAAATCCACAATTCCAGGGTCCCAGGCCCCAAATCCCCAATTATAATCTGCCTCCAGTCCTTCAAACCCTAAATCCACAAGTCCAGTTGTTCAAATCCCAAATCCCCAATTCCAGGCCAGGTGCCAAATCCCAAATTCCAGGCAGGCCCTAAATCCCCAATGCCAAGCCCCCAGGCCCCAAATCCCACGCCCCAAATCCCCATTCCAATTTTCCAAGCCCCAAATCCCCAATTCAAGCCACCCAGGCCCCAAACTCTCCATTAGACTCAAACCCCAAATCCCCAATTCCCAGGCCCCCAATTCCAGGCCGCCAGGCCCCAACCCAATTCCAGGCCCCACTCCCCATTCCAGTTTCCCAGGCATATCATTCCAGTCCCTCAAGCCCCAAATCCTCCAGGAGGCCCCAAATCCAATCAATCCAGGCGCCCAATCCCAGTCCCCCAAGCCCCAAATCCAATTCCGGTGTTCAAATCCCCAATTCCAATCTGCCAAGCTCCCCGACATCTCCAGCCCCCAAATCAGGCCCCCAGGTCCCCAATCCCAGGCCCAGCCCCCAACTCCCCAATTAGGCCTCCCCCAACTCCACCCGCCAGGCAAATTCCCAATTCGAGTTCCCAGGCCGCCCACTTCCCTTCAAACCCCAAATTCCCAATTCCAGGCCCCCAGACCCCAAGTCCCCAATTTCAGGCACGCCCAGGCCATCTCCCCACGCCCCAAATCCCCCAATTCCAGTCCCCCAAGCCCCAAATCCGTCCTTCAAACCTTAAATCCACAATTCCAGTCAGGCCCCATCCCCAATTCCAGGAATGGGGCCCCAAATCCCCAATTCCAGCCCCCCAGCCCCCAACTCCCCAGTTAGATTCAATTCCAGTCCCCCAGGCACCGAAACCCCATTCCAGTTCCCCAAGCCCCAAATCCCCGAAAGGGGTTTGGAAAAAGGTCAAAAAACCCGTTGGGCTCTGGAAAAAGCAAAAAAGCTCAATTTGGGGGCCGGGAAGAGGGTCTGGAAAAGGCAAAAAAAACAACTTTGGTAGCTTGGAGGGGGTTTGGAAAGGGCCACAAAACCCAATTTGGGGGCTTGGAGGAGGCTTGGAAAAGGTCAAAAAGCACAATTTGTAGGTTTGGAGTGGGTCTGGAGAAGGCCAAAAAACCCAAATTCTGCGCTTGGAAGGGATCGGGAAAAGACCAAAAAGCACATTTGCTGGTTTTGGAAGGGGGTTTGAAAGAATTTCAGGGCTTGGAGAGGGTGTGGAAAAGGACAAGAAACTGAATTGGGGGGCTTGGAGGGCGTCTGGTGGAGCCGGGAACGGAGATTTTGGGCCTGGTTGGCAAAAAAATTGGGGCCTGGCATTTGGGGCCTGGGGGCCTGGAATTGGGGTTTGGGGTTTGGGGTGCCGGAATTGGGGATCTGGGACACCCGCTCCAAGCCACCACATTGGGTTTCTTTGCTTTTTCTAGACCCCCTTCCAAGCCCCCCAATTGAGCTTTTGTGCTTTTCCAAACCCAAATTAAGCTTTTTGGCCTTGTCCAGACCCCTTCTAAACCCCCAGATAAGGTTTTTTGGTTTTTTCCAAACCCCCTCCAAGCCCCCCACCCCAAAATCCCAGCCCAATCCCTTCCAGGCCCCAAATCCACGCTCCAGACCCCAAATCCAGGCCCCAAACCAGGCTCCAGACCCCAAATCCAGGTCCAGTCCCAAATCCACCAGGCCCCAAATCCAGGCTCCAGACCCCAAATCCAGCAGTCCCGGATCCAGACCCCAGCCCCAAACCCAGGCTCCAGACCCCAAATCCAGGCCCCAAATCCAGGCACCAGGCTCCACCCAAATCCAGGCCCCCCAGGCCCCAAATCCAGACCAGGCACCAAATCCAGGCTCCAGACCCCAAATCCAGGCCCCAGGCCCGGCTCCACCCAAATCCAGGCTCCAGACCCCAAATCCAGGAGTCCCGGATCCAGACCAGGCACCAAATCCAGGCTCCAGACCCCCAAATCCAGGCCCAGGCCCCACCCCAGTCCCAAATCCAGCCCAGGCCCCAGACCCCAAATCCAAGCCCAGACCCCAAATCCGGCCTCACCAGTCCCAAATCCAGGCCCCGCCCCAAATCCAGGCCAGGCGCCAAATCCAGACTCCACACCTCAAAGTGGAAAAGGACAAGAAACTGAATTGGGGGGCTTGGAGGGCGTCTGGTGGAGCCGGGAACGGAGATTTTGGGCCTGGTTGGCAAAAAAATTGGGGCCTGGCATTTGGGGCCTGGGGGCCTGGAATTGGGGTTTGGGGGTTTGGGGTGCCGGAATTGGGGATCTGGGACACCCGCTCCAAGCCACCACATTGGGTTTCTTTGCTTTTCTAGACCCCCTTCCAAGCCCCCCAATTGAGCTTTTGTGCTTTTCCAAACCCAAATTAAGCTTTTTGGCCTTGTCCAGACCCCTTCTAAACCCCCAGATAAGGTTTTTTGGTTTTTTCCAAACCCCCTCCAAGCCCCCCACCCCAAAATCCCAGCCCAATCCCTTCCAGGCCCCAAATCCACGCTCCAGACCCCAAATCCAGGCCCCAAACCAGGCTCCAGACCCCAAATCCAGGTCCAGTCCCAAATCCACCAAGCCCCAAATCCAGGCTCCAGACCCCAAATCCAGCAGTCCCGGATCCAGGCCCCAGCCCCAAACCCAGGCTCCAGACCCCAAATCCAGGCCCCAAATCCAGGCACCAGGCACCCAAATCCAGGCCTCCCAGGTCCAAGCTCCAGACCCCCAAATCCAGGCCCAGGCCCCACCCCAGTCCCAAATCCAGACCCCAAATCCAAGCCCAGACTCCAAATCCGGCCTCACCAGTCCCAAATCCAGGCCCCCCCAAATCCAGGCCAGGAGCCAAATCCACGGCCCCAGGCTCCAAATCCAGGCCCCAGACCCCAAATCCAGGCACAGTCCCAAATCCAGGCGCCAGGCTCCAGACCCAAATCCAGTCCCTTCCCCAGCCCCAAATCCCGAATTCCAATTCGCCTCCAGGCCCCGAAGCCAGAATTGAGGTCTCCGAGGCCCCAAATCCCAAATTCCAGTGCCCCAGGCCACACCGCAAACACTAAAACCAGAAACCCGTTTTTGACAAATTGGTTTAGGGACTAAGCAGCAGTCCCCTTAAAGGAAGCTGAACTATGTAACGCTTCGCTCCGGCAAAAGTGCCTAGGGCGCCTTGCGCAGTCCAAAAACTGCGCTGGCGAACCCTAAACCCTAAACCCTAAACCCTAAACCCTAAACCCTAAACCCTAAACCCTAAACCCTAAACCCTAAACCCTAAACCCTAAACCCTAAACCCTGAACCCTAAACCCTAAACCCTAAACCCTAAACCCTAAACCCTAAACCCTAAACCCTAAACCCTCAAGTCCCCATAAATTGAGCTTGCGTATTACACCGTGCATGGTATTCCATTACATTCTTTTAAAGTTGAAGCAAATACACTTAACATCATATCCTTAGATATGCATAGCCGTTTGCACAAGTTATTGCAATCGAGTTTAAGTAAATTGAATTGATTATTCCGCCACCACCACCACCAATATGCAATCGAGTTTAAGTAAATTGCACCAGCCCGCTGGCTCAGAATGGCCTAGGGACCTAGTCATAGTCAGAATCCTTTCGTTTTGCCGGGGTTGTAACATCCTCTGGTCTCGGCTCGCCACCCGAGGGAGCGAAATCGTAGGACGACCTTGGTTGAAGATTGTTGAGACAAGGGGAAGCTCAGGACAAAAAGCGCAAACTCCATGGTGACATCTGCCCGTCCGCCGACGGTGGAGAGGCGGAACCCAACAGGATCCCAAGACGATCACAACGGAAGGCCAACGTGAAACAAGACAGCTGCCGAGATCCCAACAGAATTGGTGCGCACGATCTTTGTACAAGTAATGCAGCCGTCTATTTGAAGTGTCCCTCTAAAATAGATCGGCCTGCAGCGCACTGACACTTGACTGGTCCTGCACTGCACCACAGTCACCAACAGACCTTCCCGCAACCCCAAAACCCTGAAAAAAAAACCGTGCTGCAGAAGCAACAAGGGGCAAGAAGGTTGACAACCGTTAGTTTACAGTCAATGAGCACAAACGCTCCAAACCCACGTGAACCGAGAACGAAAAAACAAGCTGTCACGGGCAGGCAGACTACAAGGCTAGCAAGTCCCAAAGATCACAACGCCCCGAACCCAAGGGTAGAAGACATAAAGATCTCAAAGACCTGAACCTCAAACCCGAAACCAGCAGACAAAGTCCCCGACAAGCGAAGCAGTGGCGACCTGAGCAGGAGGGAAGAAACGAGCCAAGGTGCAGGACACAGCCAGGCGGCAAAGGCATGCGAGAAGAAGCACGGCAGCGGGGCACTCTATTTTCAAGGCGACCGCAAAAGAAAGATTGCGAAAGACACATGCATGCCCCTTCGCCTATTTCCTGTACAAAAGAATGGTCACAAAAAGGTGTCCTGCAAGGGGCCAAGGTGATGCATGCGCATCGACACGTGGCTTTGCCTTATCGTGCAAACGAGTGACAACAACGAAGCTCCACAACATGTCAACTGAGGCTCCGACCATATTACCCAAATATTTGAAGGACATACCATTTATGGTTGCTCGCCTGCCCGCACAAATCTGTGCTGTATTGTACCATGGCAGAAACACAATATGCGCCAAGTCTCTTTCTTCCACATATCCGACCATAACGATCGCAAAGTAGAACCTGGCAAAGGAAATTGACGGTGAGAAACCCGAGATGAATCCGAGCGTTGCAAAGCCTTTTGCGCTGATTTTACATCAAAATCGAGTAGGCCAAGGACGTGGTATATTCGCCTAGAAACAAAATGGACGCACGACCTTTGTCCTGCATGGCACGGTCGCAAGCGCTTAGCACTGCATCCCGTACATCCACCGATCCAGCCGCGTCCATGTTGGACAGCACGTCCAACTCACAGGGACCACATAACCTTTGAAGGTGAAAGGGATGCGATGCCAGCGGCTCATAGGCCAGCAGCCCGTCGTCACTTGCTAGATGCATCATCGGGTTCACGGCCGTGCCCAAATGGTGATGGCTGCTGAGAGGACATAAGATCAAACTCGACGGGTAATGTTTGGCCAGCCAACGAAAAGCTTCTAGCTTCCACTCACAGTTATGCATGCCCGATTCTTGCTTGATCTGGTTAGTGGGCTTTTGGTCCGCCAAGACATTGATGTGAGGGCTGCCCCATAAAATCACAGTCGGTGCGCAACCATGACAATGCGTCTCCACCAAGTCCGAAGCGGTGGCGTCCACCCCATCGATGATGTGCAAATGTTTGTAGCACTTTTGCATACGCCCCGTCAAAAGCTTTTGCATTGCTGCAGCATCACCTTTCTTTGGAAAACAGAAGTCCGTCACGTAGATATCTACATCGTGTAGAGATGTGAGGGGCAAAGGCAGATCGAGCTTTGACAGCATATGGAGATGGTGGTACAGCACAGCTTTACTTGGACCTTTGTAGCATTCGTCGCAAGTCCACTGTGGCGGTGTTGTTCTCTTTGTCCATTCTGGGTCTGCATGCTGGTATCCACACAACTCCGGCACCAACAACCGAGACGCCACCCGTTGACACACACCACATTGCGGGGTGCGAGGCGGGTACATCACCATCTTCACGTGGGTGGATGCATGGACCTTCTGCTCTTCCCAGCAACCAGAAGAGTAGAATCCGCCATCGGTTGATCGAGCCGACAAAGCGTACAGCTGGACGTGGCAACGGTTGCACGCGAAGCATGTGCTATTGCCAAGCTTCCTCTCTTGCCTCCTTCTCGCCCACCAGACCACTGCACTTATGATTGCAAAGATGAGAGGCCGTGCAAACCATCGTCGAATCGCCATCACGTAAAAATCACTGAGGTCGTTACAAAGCTGTGGCCCAGAAAAGGCTGCAAACCGGTGCTAGTGACGATTGTGGGATACACTACAGACAGGTCTCACACACAACAGTACGACATTAAGTTAAGCCCTGCCTCGAAGTCATCGTGGATCGCTTCTTCACGGTCTAGTACCTGCGAACATCACTTGCGGCAAGTCTCAAGCGACAGCTTCACAAATGAGTCAAAATCCTTCATTGATGGGCCTGCAAAACGCAAAGATAAGAACACTAAGTGCATAGAGCCAACATTCAGCACGTACTACAAAATGCTTCGGGAGTTAAGCCTGAGATGGGAATCTGCTCAATACGAGTCTTGAAATGTTTGTCTTGATGTACCACGAACAGCCATTGTCTGACCAAGGAGGGGGAGCAGGATCTACCGAGAACAGCCACAGTCTAACCGAGGAGGCGGAGCAAAGGCGATGATGATGATATCGACGCTCTCTCTCTCTCTCTTCGCCTCCTCCCTCCTCTCTCTCTCTCTCCTTCACTCACGCCTAGCGCCTCCTCTCTCCGTGCCTCTCTCTCTCTCTCTCTCCTCCGTTCTCCTCTCCTCTCTCTCTCTCTCTCTCTCTCTCTCTGGCTCTCTCTTTCTCTCGTTCTCCCTCTGTCTACCCTTTCTCTCTCGCTCTCCCTTTTCCTCTCTCTCTCTCTCTCTCTCCTCTCGCCTCTCTCCCTCACTATCTCTCTCTCTCTCTCGCCGGCTCTCTCTCTCTCTCTCCTCTCTCTTTCTTTCTTCTCTTCCTCTCTCCGCTCTCGCCCTCACTCGCTTCTGTCCTGTTCTGGCTGCGTTTGGCTCGCCACCCGAGTGAGCGAAATCGTAGGACGACCTTGGTTGAAGATTGTTGAGACAAGGGGAAGCTCAGGACAAAAAGCGCAAACTCCATGGTGACATCTGCCCGTCCGCCGACGGTGGAGAGTCGGAACCCAACAGGATCCCAAGACGATCACAACGGAAGGCCAACGTGAAACAAGACAGCTGCCGAGATCCCAACAGAATTGGTGCGCACGATCTTTGTACAAGTAATGCAGCCGTCTATTTGAAGTGTCCCTCTAAAATAGATCGGCCTGCAGCGCACTGACACTTGACTGGTCCTGCACTGCACCACAGTCACCAACAGACCTTCCCGCAACCCCAAAACCCTGAAAAAAAAAAACCGTGCTGCAGAAGCAACAAGGGGCAAGAAGGTTGACAACCGTTAGTTTACAGTCAATGAGCACAAACGTTCCAAACCCACGTGAACCGAGAACGAAAAAACAAGCTGTCACGGGCAGGCAGACTACAAGGCTAGCAAGTCCCAAAGATCACAACGCCCCGAACCCAAGGGTAGAAGACATAAAGATCTCAAAGACCTGAACCTCAAACCCGAAACCAGCAGACAAAGTCCCCGACAAGCGAAGCAGTGGCGACCTGAGCAGGAGGGAAGAAACGAGCCAAGGTGCAGGACACAGCCAGGCGGCAAAGGCATGCGAGAAGAAGCACGGCAGCGGGGCACTCTATTTTCAAGGCGACCGCAAAAGAAAGATTGCGAAAGACACATGCATGCCCCTTCGCCTATTTCCTGTACAAAAGAATGGTCACAAAAAGGTGTCCTGCAAGGGGCCAAGGTGATGCATGCGCATCGACACGTGGCTTTGCTTTATCGTGCAAACGAGTGACAACAACGAAGCTCCACAACATGTCAACTGAGGCTCCGACCATATTACCCAAATATTTGAAGGACATACCATTTATGGTTGCTCGCCTGCCCGCACAAATCTGTGCTGTATTGTACCATGGCAGAAACACAATATGCGCCAAGTCTCTTTCTTCCACATATCCGACCATAACGATCGCAAAGTAGAACCTGGCAAAGGAAATTGACGGTGAGAAACCCGAGATGAATCCGAGCGTTGCAAAGCCTTTTGCGCTGATTTTACATCAAAATCGAGTAGGCCAAGGACGTGGTATATTCGCCTAGAAACAAAATGGACGCACGACCTTTGTCCTGCATGGCACGGTCGCAAGCGCTTAGCACTGCATCCCGTACATCCACCGATCCAGCCGCGTCCATGTTGGACAGCACGTCCAACTCACAGGGACCACATAACCTTTGAAGGGGAAAGGGATGCGATGCCAGCGGCTCATAGGCCAGCAGCCCGTCGTCACTTGCTAGATGCATCATCGGGTTCACGGCCGTGCCCAAATGGTGATGGCTGCTGAGAGGACATAAGATCAAACTCGACGGGTAATGTTTGGCCAGCCAACGAAAAGCTTCTAGCTTCCACTCACAGTTATGCATGCCCGATTCTTGCTTGATCTGGTTAGTGGGGTTTTGGTCCGCCAAGACATTGATGTGAGGGCTGCCCCACAAAATCACAGTCGGTGCGCAACCATGACAATGCGTCTCCACCAAGTCCGAAGCGGTGGCGTCCACCCCATCGATGATGTGCAAATGTTTGTAGCACTTTTGCATACGCCCCGTCAAAAGCTTTTGCATTGCTACAGCATCACCTTTCTTTGGAAAACAGAAGTCCGTCACGTAGATATCTACATCGTGTAGAGATGTGAGGGGCAAAGGCAGATCGAGCTTTGACAGCACATGGAGATGGTGGTACAGCACAGCTTTACTTGGACCTTTGTAGCATTCGTCGCAAGTCCACTGTGGCGGTGTTGTTCTCTTTGTCCATTCTGGGTCTGCATGCTGGTATCCACACAACTCCGGCACCAACAACCGAGACGCCACCCGTTGACACACACCACATTGCGGGGTGCGAGGCGGGTACATCACCATCTTCACGTGGGTGGATGGACCTTCTGCTCTTCCCAGCAACCAGAACAGTAGAATCCGCCATCGGTTGATCGAGCCGACAAAGCGTACAGCTGGACGTGGCAACGGTTGCACGCGAAGCATGTGCTATTGCCAAGCTTCCTCTCTTGCCTCCTTCTCGCCCGCCAGACCACTGCACTTATGATTGCAAAGATGAGAGGCCGTGCAAACCATCGTCGAATCGCCATCACGTAAAAATCACTGAGGTCGTTACAAAGCTGTGGCCCAGAAAAGGCTGCAAACCGGTGCTAGTGACGATTGTGGGATACACTACAGACAGGTCTCACACACAACAGTACGACATTAAGTTAAGCCCTGCCTCGAAGTCATCGTGGATCGCTTCTTCACGGTCTAGTACCTGCGAACATCACTTGCGACAAGTCTCAAGCGACAGCTTCACAAATGAGTCAAAATCCTTCATTGATGGGCCTGCAAAACGCAAAGATAAGAACACTAAGTGCTTAGAGCCAACATTCAGCACGTACTACAAAATGCTTCGGGAGTTAAGCCTGAGATGGGAATCTGCTCAATACGAGTCTTGAAATGTTTGTCTTGATGTACCACGAACAGCCATTGTCTGACCAAGGAGGGGGAGCAGGATCTACCGAGAACAGCCACAGTCTAACCGAGGAGGCGGAGCAAAGGCGATGATGATGATATCGACGCTCTCTCTCTCTCTTCGCCTCCTCCCTCCTCTCTCTCTCTCTCCT